CTCTGAATCACACTTACAAAATGTGCTACTGTATTCTGCAATAATGGGCCAACCCATGCTCCATTACAGTGATACTATAGTGTTTGGGATGGGGTAGCAGAGTCTTAAGTGTGAAAGGTTATTAGAGCTCTTCAGATCGAGAAATCTAACCCACAGGAAACACGTAAATGCCAAAAATTTACTGTGGGCAACAGGAAGGATGGCAACTCAGGTGCCACTGTGGAGTTTGAAAAGCAGATAGGTAAACATGGGGGACAAAGTGCTTATATCAGAAGTAGAAAGCCAGAAAGAATCAGTGGATTAACATCATGGGTAAAAGGGAAAAATGATGAAGATAAATGTTGCGAAGGTGGCGAATGATTTCATTGCTTTGTTTGTCAGTGCTGAGGAGATTCTTGCCTTTGGACCGGTTCTTTTCTGAGGATAAAGATAAGACATTTTCAGAGGCTGAGATATCAGAAAAGGTGCATATTGGTAATTTAACATTCAGTCAGTTCCTCGTCCCAGCTGGTCCATCCAGAAGTTGTGGTGGAGCCTAGGAATGAAGTCACTGACCCGCTAGCAAGAGATTCAGCATCTCATTATAACTAACCGCTTTTCCAGAGGGCTGTAGGGTAGCAAGCATCGTTGTTCTTAGGGTTTTGAAAAGTGCTGCGGGTAATCTGAGGGATTAAAGATATAGAAGCCCTGCATTTGTACCTGCCAAATGAGCTGAAGTGATGATTAAAAACAGAGTAGCACCACGTGGAAGGTAATGATGTGATGGTCTAACAAGCAGCTTTTGCAAAGGAAAGAAATCCTTACTAATGTCCTGTGGGGGTTTTTTGATCATGTCTATAGAGTAGTTGATAAAGGAGAGCTGGTAGATTTGTTTAGGCATTCAAAAAGCCATTGAGAAGGTCTCCCACAAGAGGCTACGGAAGAGTTAGTTATGGGATGAGATGTGGATATTGTCGAGAGCCAGTAACTAGCTTGGAGACGGAAAGCAGAGAGTGGAATTAGTTGATATTTGGTCTGGTAAAAGGTGTGCTGCGGGAGTCACAGTGCTCCATGTGAGATCCTGTGTTAAATACGTGTTCTGGGAAAACAGTGAAGTGGCAAAATGCAAGTGAAAGCGTGATGTAGGGAGAAGCCAGGGCAATGTGGCACCTCTTAGGCTAAATTGTGCAGAGAAGCATAGCTTCCCTAATCAGAGAAGTGGGGATGGAAAGGATCTCCATGGGTCACGTCTAGGTCAGTCCCTGTCCAGACCATCCTGCACAAATCCATTGTCTAACCTATTGGCAAAACTACACAGTCAACCCTGACACAACCATGAAACCTAGATCTTCCTTCTGCGGCCAAGGCTGTTAAAATAAATGAAGAAAAAATGCTCGAGAGATCCAAGGAAGGGGTCCATACCCCTTGCTTCAGAGGAAGGAACCCCCTGCCCCTCATCTATACCAGTCAGACCATGGGGTAAAATTCCTTCCTGACCCAAAATCAGACAATTGGTCTGATCCCAAGCAGAGCCAGATGCTTTGAATGGTCTTGTGGAGTGCAGGGTGTGAATAGAAAGGAATAAAGTCCTTTAGATGCAGTGGATAGGGAAAGGGGAAGCGAAGAAGGGGGTGGCACTGCTGAGAGGGGCAAAGGTGGGTTGAAGAGTTCAAAAGGAAGAAACAAAGCAGTTAACCCACAGAGGGAAAGAAGGGTTATAAAGCCTAGATAAGGTAATGGGGTAAGAATCCATAGTCCCTGTTGAGACCCTTCTTAATGCACCTTAGTCCATAGATAATTTCTTGTTATGCAGTCTCACGTTCGAGTTTGGTTTTGAAAGTTTTAAGAGCAGCTACTCTGAGAGAGATCAGTGATGGGGTGTCCAGAGAGGTTGAAGTGTCTTTTGTGTCTTTTTAGAATTGATGTCAAATTGGTGTCTGTTCCTTTTTTTTTTTCACGTAGGGGTTGGCCTGTCTGTCCAAGGTGAACTGCGGGGGGGGCACTGGAAGCAGGTGATGGCAGGTGTGACATTAGTAGAGGAGCAGATGAATGGATCTCAGATGTCATAGTGGTGTTTGGTCTAGTGATGATGTGGTCTGTGTTGATGAGGAGGCATTGCAAATCCCTTATGGCTTGGTGAGAATAGAAATTAAGCAGCCTATTGCTGGAGAGATGCTGTTTTTAGGTTGTGGGGGCTGCCTATAAGCCAGGATAGGCTTGTACCCAAGACTGACTTAAAGATAGTTGTCACTTTTCAGGACAGGCTGGAGATTATGAATGATTTGTCCAACATGTTCAAGCAAGGAGCTGTAGGTTTCAACACATGGGATTGTATTGCCATGTCCCAGGGCTGGTATTGTAGCAGGTCAGAGCAGGGTCAAAGTCTGGCTCTGATTTGAGTAGCTACAGTTTGGGGATTGTATTGTAAGTGTAGGAATCCCCACTTCAGATCTTTACAGCATGCATCCTGATCAGAGCAGATACAACTGTAGTGTAGAGCTTGGCTCTAGTCGTGTGCTTAGGGTGGAAGCTGGTGGTCTGGAGGTAGTTGTAGCGGTCACTTGGTTTTTGATGCAGTGTGATGGTGATTTAGTCCTTGCAAAGTTTCACAGTGGTGTCCAAGAAATGTTTGCTCAATGGAGTATCCTGGAGCCAGTGTGGTGGAGGGTAGAAACTGTTAAAGTCCAGGTGGAATTTCTCTGGAGATTCCTTCCCATGTGTCCACATGATGATGCCATCAGTGTAACTCGGGTATGCCCGGCAGGGAGAGGCCACTTGCAGAGGCAACAAAAGTTTAAGGTTTGGCATATTGGGGCACCATGCATGTGCTCATGATAGTACCGTTCATTTGTGGGTGTTAGGGATTCTCCAAATCAGAAAACTGCGTGTGAAGATGGAACGGGAGTGTGCAATAGAAACGAGCAGCAGCATCTGGGATAATGTTTCTTATGGCCTGTAATCCATCCTTTTGGGGGCTGTTGGTGTGCAGAGATTTGACAGCCAAAGTAACTAGTACTTGGTTTGCTGGAAGCTTGCCACGGAAGCCTAGTTTGCATAAGAAATTGGTGGTATCCTTCAAGTAGCAGACAGCTCCAGTGGTATATGAGAATAGGGTAACGCCAACACAATCAGAAACTCCCTCTGTGATGGTGCCAGTGCCAGAGACCACAGCTTGCCAGGTTTGTGGATCTTGGGTTAATAAGTAAAAGGTGCTTGGTCTGGGTTCCCGGGAGGTGAAAGTATCAATCCTCCCCTGTGTTTAGTCTTTAAGAGCCCTCTCGGTTCCCTCTGGTTTTGTTCTGTGGGGTCTTTGGTCAGGAGTTTGCAAACCTCCATGTTGGAAACCTCAGCTCTTTGTGTCTGCTGTTCTGTGCATGACAACAATGTACTTTAGTAGCCTGTTATATGATGATATTATTCTGTTCCAGAAGACTGAGGTTGTAACATATGCATTGTTGTTTTTTGGCAATCTAGGCAGAAAACATTAATGTACAGGTCCGGAGTGGGACTTCAGCCCTCAGGTGGAGTCCGGGAGGTGTCGTTCCTCTTGTGTATGGGTATGTGGCGGGCTGATCGTTGTATGACACCTTGTCATGGAAATATTCCCTTGGTTTTAAGTGGTGGGAAAAAGCCTGAGGTCCTCATACAGCTCCACCTTACTCAGTTGTACAGTGGGGTAGAAGAGAAGACTACACGACGGTACAGACACCTTGGCAGAGCTGAGTGTGGTTGGGTAGGTTGATGACATGGCTGTGGATTGTAGGGTGATCCTTGGAGCATTTGTTTGGAAAGTTTTTGCTTCCTTCAACTCCTTTGAAAGAGTGGAGGTTTTGGGGATGGGCTTCAGGGCTGAATGCAGAGATCTCCAGGTGGTTGTGTGCTGTCTGCAAGGCTGGTGCTGATCTGTTCCCATTTGCTGTGTGGAGCGCTTACTAGGGAGACAGTGAAGCACAGCTTGTCAGAATAGGCCAGTGATTCTCAATGAGCATCACTGGGGTGCCTTGGTATTTCATAGACATTAGGGCTGGAAGGGACTTCGGTAAGATCGAGTCCAGCCCCCCGCCCGAAGGGCAGGAAGTCAGCTGGGGTCATAGGATCCCAGCAAGATAAGCATCCAATTTACTCTTGAAGGTGTTCAATGTAGGTGCTTAAACCACCTCCGATGGCAGGCTGTTCCAGACCTTGGGGGCTGGCACAGTAAAGAAATTCTTCCTTAAATTGAGATCCTTTTAGGGGTGCCACACAGCACTGTTGGGTGTGCAAACAGGATTCATAAGATAAACCCAGAAGTTTTAACTAGGGATTCATACTGTTATAACCATTCTGCCTTGTGGTGGTCTTTCTGAGTTTCTTGTAATGGAAGAATTGCTCTGGTATTTCTCTGTAGTCAAAAAAAAAAAAAAAAAAAAAAAAAAAGAGAGAGTGCAAAAACTACTCTGGCATTTTTCCTGAGGGGTGCTTCAAGTTTCAAAAAGGTTGAGAACCATCGGCATAGGCTGTGTGATGCGTTGAACGAAGCGGATCGGTCACTTGGAGTCATTGGGTGTGAGATTCATCTGCCTGCATCTGGTCAGGAAGAAGATACTCAAGTATAATGGAGCAAGTTTGTGTAGACTGATTGCAGTCCGCTTCGTTCAGCTGAGCATGGTGGCATCCATGAGCAGAGGTACTTAACTCTTAGTCTGATGTTAGAGAGAAGGCAACGTGGCATCTTGTAGTTTAGACAGGACCAGCAAACACTTCAGAAAGGCCCAGACTGGGTAAGGGAATCAGCACAATGGCAAATGAAATGCAAAGCGGTGCCCAGTAGAGAGGAAGCTGTGAAATGCTAAAAGGTTAGCTTGTGCCAGGTAATACTGATAACATCATGAGGTTATCCATGCCAGCAGCGAGGTGTCATCTGGAACAGTAGGTGCTGTACTAGTCCCTTTTGGGATAGGCTTCATGGCTGGGTGCAGAGATCTCCTCGGAGCAGATGTTTCAGCATGGGAAGGGGCTAAAAAGGATGAAGGATCACATCTACGTTTTACACAAGGTCTTCAATCTGGATGAGATCTAACATGGTGAGCAGATCATCACACCTGACTTCTTATACCTTCCTCTGAAGCTGGGCAGCAGTTCCCATATTGCAGTGCTGAGATCAGAAACAGGACTGAAGCAGTCCAGCAGTTCCCATGTCACAGTATTTATTCGGGGGTAAGAATTCGGAGTTCTCCAGCAAACAGTCTCTTGGAAGAGTTCAAGGGCCTAAGCAACTTCTCTTTCCTCTCTTCCTCTTTCACTCGGCCTCTGTAGTCTTCTGCGGGGAGTGGAAGTCACCTTAGGCTACCTCAAAATCCTGCATGAGGTTCAGAAAGTTTGAGAGGAAAACCTCTTGCGAAGACCAGGGAAGTTGCCCCCATTTCAAGTAGCAAAACTCTCCAGATTCCAGCTGAGATGACTAGGGGTAGTTTTTGTACTTGAAAATGGGGCAAATTCACTGCGGCCTTCAGCGTGAGAAGTTTGGTATCCTCAGGGCAAGGATTTGCCACGTGCGAGAGGAAGGGGGCTCCTGAGCCAGAGATTCCCAAATTGACCTGACTGTCCACATGGCAGAACAGGCAGAGGAGGCCACTTGCTGCTTGATATCCCTTTTCTTTGCAAGTCTTTGCATCCCAGCAGTGTGAGTATCTGCTGGGAGAGCTCTTAAAACGAAGCAACCTTGGCAACAAATACAGTGAGTCGCATCCTACAGATGCCCCTCTAAAAACTTGAGAGTTAAATCTGCACTCCCATCTCTTTTGTTGCATGCGTATAATGACAGCCCTCGTCTCAGAAACGCATTCCTCCTCTGATTCTTAGTTTTTCTTAAAGATGCTTGAAGCCAGCATTCAGCCATCTGAATGTGTGCTGTCGAGAGTGATCCCGTTGCGGCAGGGCTTGAAACGAAGGGAACCTGAATACCTCTGCTTATTAAAGTTCCTTGGCAACATGTGGAGTTAGGTTAATAACCCTGCTGACTGGGAAGAGCTCCAGATTGATTAATTCCACACCACTCCCCATCTCCCTTTTCCATTGTAGTGGGACGCAGCTTTCCTCCATTTGTAGTGAGAATGCCTGCCTTTTCTGCTAGGCACCATGCTCACAGGAAAATGTAATCCCTCCTGAGAGAAGCTGACAGTGTAAGTCTGTCTGTTGCTGTTCTGCTTTCCACCAGGAAGACTGTCGCATTTCTAGGGTGGCCAAAGCAGCATCTGCGTGTCGTTTGGAAAGGCTTTGGCATCCTTTTTAGATGATGGGCCCTCCAGTCAGCAGACAAACTGAGAGCACACCTGGAAGAGACTTTGTGCTTACTGTTTCTGAGCTAAGCCTCTGTTTTCTCAGCCGTCCTCTTTCCAGATAAGTCGCTAAATATATGGGTAAAATCCACACAGATGAGATTTTTTTTTTCCTAGTCTGCCAGAGAACTTGGCACAAAACTGCCAGCAGGCCTTTAGATAAGAGCTAACGGCTTGAATGTTATAGTCCAGCTGTTTCAAATTGGCTGCCATCAGGATGAATGGCCTAGTCTCAGCCTAGGGGACCCTCGTTCTGTGGCTGTTGCAAGGGACTTCCTGTCTAAACTTTAATTCTGCTACATCTCTGTTAAGGAAACCTACACTTTTGTGGGGGGGAAGCATCAAGTTTCCTGGGTGGGCCAGTCGCCATAGGCTGGTCCATTTGCCTTCATCAGGAATTCCCAATCGGTAAGTCCAGCAGACTTTCCAGACCCAACTTTTCAATGCAGAAAACTTTTAAAACACTGGTGAAACCCAGTTGCTTTAGAGAGAGGACAAATAGAGACAAAAATGGGGGAGCCTTGTTTCCAGTATTTTCATTGGAGATTTGAAGGAAGTTGGGATCAAAGAATTATTTCCCAGCGAGAGTTTCACCTCCACATGAATCACAGTAAGCTTATGGGTTTGAGCCATTATTAAAGTAACTGAAATTTGAATGCCCTGAAAGAGCCATCACATTTCAATTATTTTTTCAATTCCAATGACATATCCCATGACATGAGTGTATGGGAGAGCCTTCCCTTCCTGGGGAAAGAAGAGGTGCTGGAATCGCTCATCACCAGTGAACTTCTAGAGGAACAGGGAGAAATCCTCTGAACCTCATCACATCTGCAGCCTCATAAAGACTTTTCTTTTATCATGGAGTAGTTAGATAAGTAAGCCTTAAAGAGGATTTATGCTTTGTCTCCCTCGAGACGCGAGAACTATGTCCCAGTCGTGTAGACCAGGGAAGTCCAGACAAGAGTCAAGTAGGTAGAGGGAAGTCAGCAAGGGGTGGTGCTGAAAGAGAAACTCTTGGGCCGGGGGGTTATTAGCAGCGCGCTCAAGGGGTGGCCCTGTACCTCCTCTTTCATTAGTGCCCTCAGCACACGGTGGGATAACGCTAGTGAAGCATGCTGACAACAGAGCAGAGAGGCATTGCCACAGAAGATTGGCATTTTGTACAGAAAAAGCCAGATACTCTGAGAACTGGAATAGTAGAAATGGTATGAAATATAAGGGTTCAGAGTGCAGGGTCATGCAGCAGAGACAGGAAACGGGTCATGCCGTTTGACAAGGTGCTAGCAAGACTGCCCGGGAAACACTGCACAGTGCTGGCCAGCCTTGCTCAGAACCATTTCATTCAAATGAAGGAGCCTTGAGAAGGGCTGTCGGGTAGTCTGGGAGCAGGGGAGCCCTAGCCTAGGCGAGGGGACTTGCTGGACCTAGCAAACAGAAGGCTGAGAAGTGATATGGTCACCTTCTGTGGCAAGACTGTGTGAGGAAACACTTGGGAGGAAGAACGACCATTTAAGCTGTAGTGTAGAGCAGTGCTGGCATGAGCAAGTGGGTGGTACATATTGACCTTGATAAACTCCTGCTGGAAATTAGGAAGCATTTACCTATCAGCAGAGGGAGGATCTGGAATGGCCTTCCTCCCAATGGGAGTAGTGGAGGAAGAAACCAAACTGGTTGAAGATGGGCCTTGCTAAATCTAGGAGAGGGTTTGAGTGACATGATTGCCAACAATAGCAGAAGACTGGCTCAAGCGGGACAGTCTGTCGCTAAGTGGCTTGCTTTAGGCAGCAGGTCAGTAGCAAAGACAGGCCGTTTAGAAATAGGGCATTCCTGATGGCTGATTTCATGCTCAGTCCACTGTCTGTCGTCTCTGGCTGGAGTTATTACTTTTTATAACAGGTGGACTCTTGTGCATATGAAATAATTTCTGGTTCCTGTGTGCAGAGAGGACTCTGATTCCCTTGAGGTTCTGTCTCTGCTACGGCCAGGCTGTCAGTTCAGTTCAATGTTTGGGATCTTTCCAGTGCACCATTTGGCTGCAAAAATGGTCCACACAAGTACTGATAATGTAGGGGTCCTTCCTTCCTCTCCCATCTCCTTCCCCTTCCCCTCTCTCTCTTGTGTATACATTTTCTTTTGGAGAGATGCATTAACTTGTGGCTGCACGCCTCGGGATTAGTAATGGAATTGAGAGAAGTTTTTATTTCCATCAGCAGCAAACAGAATTTTATTACTGAATAATTGCAGTCCTTGTGGCCTATCTAAAATGAATTAATGAGCTTAACAAAATCATTATTGGGCATCTGGCCACAGTGCAGATTTGCTTCCCTGTTGTAGATGTTGGGTAGGACCCACATGAGCAAGCTCTGCGGAGGTGCCAAAGACCAAAGGCAGAATTCCCCTGATGTGGGAAAGAAGTCTGTCCCGGAAAGGACTGAGGCACGCTGCCAGGAGGCAGCCCGGGAAAGCGAGTAGGTGAGGAACCTTTGGCTTTGGGGCCGTCAGTCCAGTTCTTTGCCACATGCCAAACTTGAAACCAGCTTTTGCAAAAAAAGTGCTTTGCCCCTGTCTGGGACTGTTCTGTGATGCAGGCAAGTCCTCCCCGCACCCAGAGTGATGTAGAGAGGCCTTTGTAAAGCAGAGGGGCAGATTCCTTCACTGGAAAGTATGCTAGGTGGGCAAGGAAAGGCTGTCTTGCCAGTCCAACTTCTGCAAGGCATTGACCCTATTCAGCCTCACTGGAGAATGCCTGGAGGAGTTTCTCAGTGACTGAGATGTCTCAGGTGTCATGTTATTGGAGCATCTCCAAATGGAAGAGAGCAGGGGGCTTGAGTGGCACAGGGGAGGAGGCATACTAGTGCAACAGCCCACTTGTAGCTGCTGCTTTGGCTGCATGGTTTTAATTTCATGGACTTCGTTGTGGTTCCCAACAGCATAATTAAACAGACCTCACTTTTGTCCTCTCTCTCCCTTAGTAAGGAATAAAAAGTCTAGCTGTGGATCCAACAGACCGTGAATAAAATGCTAAGTGGAGCAGCCCTCGAGTGCTTGGAGTAGGCTGGTGAAGAGATGGTTCAGAACAGGGCGATTTGAAGGTCTGTAAAACATTTATTAACAGAAGAAGAAAATAACCCTGGCTTCCAGCCTTCCCACAGCCAGATTGCACTCGAAGGAGGGTGTCAGCCTGAGGCTAGTGTGGGGCCTTCTCAATGGATCTCCATCCCAAAGGGAGCCCCAGGTGAATGCTTCAGGGCTTTTATAACAAACTACCAGCTGTGCTTCACTTCCTTTTGAGTGCATGTTGCTGCTTCTAGCACACTTCGTATTCCCCAGTTAGGCCAGGGCCCAGTTACAGCATTTGTCTGTGTTGTCCATTGTGTAGTCCAGTGATTTTCAGCCTTTTTTTATTTGCAGACCTCTTTGACTTGTAAATGTTTGTATTCATTTACTTTTGATTGATCTTAGTCATCTTTTGTGGACCCCTTAGACATAGTCTGTGGACCCCCAGGGGTCCACAGACCACAGGTTGAAAACCGCTGTTCCAGTGGATCCAGCATCCTTTTAAATCCCTTTGAAGTCACTACAGTTTTTGCTCCAGGTCAGTAGCTGCAGGGGGGATGAGAGAGGGTCCATTAGCTAAAAATCTTTTACCTTTCAGCAACATTGGTTGTCTCCTCTGTGAAGGAGCAGCCATCAAACTTGTGATTCACTTGTAAACGTTTTTGAGAGCTGGTAGGGAGGGGCTCAGGGCAGGTCTCCTTCTGCCCTGGAGAACATGTAGCAAAAACCATGCAATGATTGGGAGAGAAAAGGAAGACCCTTGTATATGAACTCACCTTACATTAAGTGCAATTGCAACAGTAAAGTCCATTTTTTCTTCCTCAGAGCCATAGTGAGAACTTTCTAAAAAGAGTCTTGCCCATCAGCTAACACAGCCCAGGGCATACTGTGTTGGTACCAGACTGCAGCTGGTATTGGGCAGGAGGCGCATCTGCGTGCTAATGAAGGACAGAGCACATGGCTTGAACTTAACATGTGTCCCCCTTAAATGTGCTCGAAGCAGGGCCGCGGTCTGTAGGGAATAGACTGTTGCATCAGTTGAGCTCTTCCCAAAAGGTGTAGAAGGGAGTGAAACTGTGGCATCTCCCTTGTTCAGGACCTCCACTTAGCAATCCTGAAATCAGAGAGGGGTCGCTGCAAAGATGCTTTAGAGGTGAGTCAAAAAATCTCTTTGAACTCCCAGAGCAATCTCTTGTGGAAGGGAACAGCTCTGTCCTTCTCTGACACTTTTCCCATGGATTCTGGAGCCCCTGGGTGGGAAGTTCGGTACATCTCTGCCTCTCATCCCAAGAGAGGATCTTGGCTCCCTCAGGGTTGCTGCCCTTTGGTTCCTCTCATTGCAGCAGGACTCGGAGTGTCTCTGTCCTCTTTGAGAGTGCACGGCCAGATATCCGAATGGTACTGAGGTGTCTAGAAATGCAAAGAAGGGGTCTTTGGAGTTCTTAAGTGCTAACCTGCCTTTGAAACAGGAGTAGGAATTGAAGAGGAATTAGGTTTCATAGTTTCATAGTTTCTAGGGTCGGAAGGGACCTGAGCAGATCATCTAGTCCAACCCCCTGCCATGGCAGGAAGAGCACTGGGGTCAAATGACCCCAGTAAAGTGGTCATCCAACCTCCTCTTAAAAACCCCCAGGGTGGGAGCCTGCACCACCTCACTTGGAAGCTGGTTCCAGAC